AGGAAGGAAGGAAGGAAGGAAGGAAGGAAGGAAGGAAGGAAGGAAGGAAGGAAGGAAGGAAGGAGGAAAGAAAGAGAGAGAGAAAGAGAACTGGAATTGAGATGGACTGACAATGCTCAGAAATTCTCTTTGTTGGATTTAGTGATAGAAAGGAGATGTACATGAATCAGTAGCTAAGCACCTGGACTTGAATGCTAAATAGAAATGCAGATGGAGTGAAGAAATAGTAAAGTGCATCCTGAGACTGTGCATAGATGGCCTCAGAGCCAATGTGTCTTTGCATAGTGAAGTACAAAAACACAAATTTGATTATATATGGTAAGGTCATCTATGGAGCCCATGTGAATTATCTGGTAGAAACAAGGAGCTTTCAATGTCATACTGTAAGAATACATGGTCTCCTTCTGACCACCTACCTGCTGTGTTAGATTACTGAACATGGTGGTCAAAGAAACCTTGAAGAGGGATTAGATTTCATGGCAATCAGAGCATGGTACCCTCTGAAGAACTAAGCTAAGTGGGAATGACTTTCTTGGAGATGGCTAGAGTGCCACAGAAGGAGGCTTCATGTGAACTCAGATTTCCTTGTTGTGGCAGGGCTGTCTGGCATTTAAGGACGTGGCTGTCTGCTTCTCAGAGGAAGAATGGACACTTCTTGATGACTCACAGAGGCTCCTGTATCACAGTGTGATGATGGAGATCTTCGTCCTCATGGCCTCAGTGGGTAAGGGTATCCTATCTTGCCAGAATATGTCTGTAATGGACTTAGCTTCTTTTCTACAGAGGGATGTATTTTCCCAAAGTTGTGCCATGTTTGGTGAATCATTTCCCAACATCCTGGAGTACAGAATACTGGTGCTAATGCTGGGCTTGGAAAAATACCATTGTTTCTCTGTCAAGTACAGAAAGGTACACAGGAAGCAATATGGGATAAGTATTCGTATAGTGAGTATAATAGAGGTCAACTTGATGGCCTGGTGACACTGTAAATACATGGCATTCCTATGACCCAGGTACTGCTTTGTTCCTCTTAGTGACATGTATTGGGTGTGCCTTTTGCAGTGATTTTTGCACTGGTGTGATCATTTGCTGGGTTTCTCTCACAAGACACTCTTCAAGGATCATTCTTACTAGTTTTCTTTCCTATGGATTGTCATGGTTTGCATTATTCTGTTCTAGTATGCAATGTTTACTTGTCCTATTTTTGATTTTAGGACTTGTACCTTCTGAGATCTATGACACCACTCAGCTAAAGTCCTCAGAAGATCCCTTCAGCCCTGTGCTGAGATTCCTGACTTTGGGTATGTGGACAGGTACTTGGAGGGTGATTCATTGCTGATATATGCATTCTGGATGGGTTCATATGAAGTATATTTTGACTGCTTCTGATGTGTGGGTGCCAAGGCAGAGGATGATGGCAGAGTCCATCTCTGGTTTTCCCATTATTCTGAACCAGAGCTGTTCCTCATGTATCAGTCTTTGCAATGCTGTAAAGCACTGGATTTCCTTTATTGTGTTGTTAATGTGTAGTATACACTGAGCAGTCCTTGAATGCAGGTTCTTCGGTTATCATGCCTTACCGGCCTTGACAGCCTTCTGGACTGTGTCCTGCATCTCCAGAAGCTGAGGCCTGCAAAAGCCATTTGCTGAGGAATGTGTTATGCTCCTCCCTGTGCTTTGCTCCATGCTTGTGTTCTTGCTGTCCCTAATGTCCCTAGAGACTATGATCTCAACAATTTCAGCATGGTAATGGGCCCTTACCACCCTGAACTTGCCCCTTGTTCTGTGAAGAGTCTCAGCTCACTGTTAGCAGTATGTGTTATCTGTTAGTCCATAGCCTCCGTACCATTCATAAGTATTTTTCTGTTCAGGATGTTGGAACAGAGAGGAGGCTGAGATGTCACCCACTGAACAGACTACTTCTGCAGAAGAAGGAAATGAACAGCATAAGCTGAGAGGTGCTGAGAAATCTCCACAAAGAGAACAGGTCAGGATCCCAGCTATGAGGATTGGCAGGAGTGACCCATCAGAGAAGATGTCACAAAGCACAGACAATGTGATGGACTTCCAGGACTCCTCAAGTCTTCTTGGGTCTCAGGTGATTCACAGCACTGGACAGCCACACAGAAGCTCTGAAAAGACAGAGTCCATTCACTCCAAGAACAGAAACCACAAATGCAGTGACTGTGGCAAAACCTTTAGTCATCAGTTCCGGCTTATTCGACACCAGAAAATACACACTGGAGAAAGGCCGTTTAAGTGCAATGAATGTGGGAGATCCTTCCGCCAGAATGCTCATCTCGTTGTACACTCGAGAATTCACACTGGAGAAAAGCGTTTTAAATGCAGTGAATGTGGAAAAGCTTTCAATTATAAGAGCTCTCTCATTCATCATGAGAATGCTCACAAGGGTGAGATGCCATATAAGTGTAGCGAGTGTGGGAAATTGTATAGAAACAAATCCAGCTTAATTTGTCATTATAGAGTTCACACTGGAGAAAAGCCCTTTGAGTGCAGTGAATGTGGGGAATCTTATAGGAACAAAGTCAGCCTTGCAAGTCATTATCGATTTCATACTGGTGAAAAGCCCTATAAGTGTGTTAAATGTGGAAAATCATTTAAGGAAAAATCCAGTCTTTTTTATCATGATCGAGTACACAATGGGGAAAGGCCTTTCCAGTGCAGTGAATGTGGAAAGTGCTTTATCCAAAATTCTCACCTCGTGAAACACCAAAAAGTTCACAGCAAGCCTTTTGAGTGCAATGAGTGTGGGAGCGTTTTTACTTCGGATTACAGCCTTGCTAGACATGAGAGAGTTCACGTCACAGAAAAGCAATATGAGTGTGAGGAATGTGACAAAGTGTACTGCTACAGCTCTGGCCTCTATAAACATCGCAAAGTTCACAACAGATAAATGTCTAATGAGCAATGAATGGATGAAGTCCCTTTAAACACTGAAAATTCATTGGAAAAAAACTTGAATGCTTCAAATGTGGAGGGCATTCTCCCACACCCACACCCAGTAAAGTCTTCATCAGAGAAGCTTCTCGTTGGTAATTAACTCAGAGACCCACAACTGGACAATGAGCAGAGGGTGAGAGACCAGAAGTGGTGAATGACTTCTAAGAAAGAGTGATGTCTGTCTATACACAACAGGACTGATACAAATATGAGCTCACAGAGAGGCAGCATGCATAAGACGGGTTCAAATCAGATGAAATCTTAGTGCTGAGAAGAGGAAATTGCACACAAACTCCCACTTACCAAGAAGACATTGATATTTGCTGGAAAAGGGAAAATCAAGTTTTCCCCAATGGACTGTCACTAAATCTATCAACAGGCCATATGGAGTGTTGGCCACCTGAAAATGGACTCCTTGGGTGTTTGTTTGATTTTGTTTTGGGGTATGTGTATGTGTACATGTGGATTTTTTTTTATCTTATTAAGTTTTTTTGTTTGTTTAGCTTTTAATTAATTTATTTTTTTTCAGAGAAAGAACATGAAGTTGGGTGAATAGGAAGGTGAGAAGAATCTGGGAGGAGTTGAGGGACTGTTTGTATAATGTTCTTTTGGAATGTATGCATCTTACCCTTCTTCATTCAAACGCTGATTTCGCTCCCCTACTATCTGGTTTCAATCCAGACATTGCATTGTGATACTTATTCTAAGCATCACCTGTCTCAAGTTTGTGTAAACATGCCACCATTTGTTCTCTAAATTCTCAGTTAAAACAACCAGCCACAGTGTTGAGCAATGGAGAGGATAGGGTGGGACATTCTGGTTCAGATGGGAGGAGAGGAAGGAATAGGAGGGGGAGGGGAGGAGACAAAGGAGAGGAAGGAGTGGGTAGCAGAGGAGGAGGAGAAGCAGCAGGAGAGAAGCTGGGAGAGCAGAGGCTGGAGGAGAGGTCTTGGAACGACATGGAGAAATGAACCAGACCTAAGATAACACTATAAGCAGGTATAAGGGATGAATCTGAATGGTAGGAACTATGTGGGCTTGGAGGTTTAGGATGGAGTAACTGTTGCCCAGCACTGTGTTCTAGGTTAACTAAATAAACCCTAGTCTCTGTGTGGTGATTTGGTTATACAGCTGTCTAGGATTAAAAGCAGCTTTACTAAAAGATATATCAATAGTAAATATTTATGCCATAATACAACAGGGGATGGAAAAGAATATGATCAAAGTACAGTGTATGAAAAAATTAAATAAAAAAGATGCATGTATGACATTTCCAAAGAATTACTTTAAAAGATGTATTATGGGCTACATCTGAGGAGGCGTTTTAAGTCCTCCATGCATGGTCCTCGGTTGGGATATCAGTCTCTGCATGGCTCTCAGTGCACACTTATTTTTGGCTCTGTTGGTCTCCTTGTGGAGCTCCTGTCCCCTCCAGGTCTTTCTATCTCTCCCTTCTTTCATAAAATTCCATGCGTTCTGCCCAAAGTTTGGCTATGAGTCGCAGCCTCTGCTTCGATACCTCGATCAGTGGAGTCTTTCAGAGGCCTTCTCTAGCCCATAGACTCATTCTCCAAGTGGGTTCCCTAGTAAGGGGAGCAGAGGTTGTCTCTGGCATGAACTCAGTGGCTGGCTCTCTGATCACCTCTCCCTGGGGGTACAGCTTGCCAGGCCACAGAAGACAATGAAGCCAGTCCTGATGAGCCCTGATAGGCTCATAGAAGGGGAGGAGGTCCTCCCCTATTAGTGCACTAGGGGAGTGGCATAGGGGAGAAGAAGGAGGAAGGGTGGGATTGGGAGATGGAGGATGGGGCCATAGCTGGGATACAAAGTGAATAAATTGTAATAAATAATAATAAAAATGCAAAAAAGAATTACTTCATGTATGTGAGCTTTTGCCTGTTTGTGTGTATGGACATCCAGTGCATGCCTGGTGCTGGAGGAAGTTGACAAGGTTGTTGTATGCCCTGCAAGTGCAGTTACATACATAAGAGCCACCATGTGTGTTTGAGTGAAACTCAGTCTTCTGCTAGAAACCAACCAATCTTAACCACTGAGCCATCTCTCTAGCCCCATCATACATGTTTTCTTGAAGGACATATGTCTTCAGATTTTGTGCTTTTTTAAAATTTTGGTCATTTCTTTGTGTGCTATTTTTTTTTTTAAAACTAGATTCACATTGTTTTAGAAATTCTTTCTTTGTTTATCCTCATTATATGCCCCCAGCTGTCTGGAGCTCTCCTGGAGTTGGCATCAAAACTTACAGAGATCTACCTGCCTCCACAAGGTGTGTGTCTCTATTTCCTGTGTCTTAAATTCTTGACACTCACACCTTAGTGCTCTGAGCACTGGGTTGTATGTTTTTACTTCTCAACACTCCTTTGATCTGACAAGGCTTGGGCATTTCACTTGTTTGTGAGTAATGGTTATTTCTTTAACCATGAAAGTCTAGCTATGTTCATATCTAATATGGCAATGCTCCTGACATTAGAACATAGAGATGTGACATAAAGTTCTGGTAACTGCTCAGGGTTCTGCTCATTCATGTTTCCCAGACTATAAAAGGCTGAATCTACAGAGGCCTTTGATGTGATTCCAGATAGTGAAAGCCCTGAATTTTTGTCTCACATTGACCGGGATTGGCCAGCAGTTGAGTGTTCTAGAGAAGTGGCTAAATCGAAATCATATAACAGTGAATAAAAATGAGCCCTTTGTAGATGTAGCTTAGCAACAAGCAGGGCTCATGATGTATAAAGAAGAGATATAATAAAATGAAAAAGAAGAATGAACTAAGATGGGTCAGTACATCTCTGACCTTTTTGTTTGTTTGTTTTTTTGAGACAAGATTTCTCTGTGCAGCCTTTGTAGACCAGGCTGGCCTCAAACTCACAAAGATCCACCTGCCTCTGCCTCCCTGAGTGCTGGGATTAAAGGTGTGCATCACCATACCCAGCCATCTCTGACGTTTTTAGGAGACAAGAGTAGAACTTTGAGGGCATTGTGCATCACAAGAGTAGATGAGAACTTCCTAGTACAGGCAGAGACATTCAGAGCTGAAGAGGAATTTACTTGACTTTATTATCTTCCTTCTTTAATGTAGTTTCAAAGTATGTATACAAAAACTGATTAAATTTCCCTTGAGTAATACTTAAGTATACATACATGCATAATGATGTCAAAACTGCAGAGTGGCTGGGGGTGTGGCTCGGGTGGTAGAGTGTTTGCTTACCTTGTATTCATTGTCATATGCCTGATCCACAGTAGGCCATGCAAAGTGACACTTGATCTTTTGATACCATCTGTAATGTAGTTCATTCTAGAAAATGGTCTTAAACACCTCGTCCTCCTTTCTCTACTCCACAGTGCTAGGATTACATCCCTGCATCACTGTGACTCCTCTGAAAAGAATATAGCCCATTATGGTACAGGAAAGAAACACTTCGCAGAAGCAGAGTTATCTCTAGTGCTGAAGAGCACTGATCACTTTCCCCAGAGACCTGAGTCAGTTCCTGGCACACACATGAGTTAAACTCATCTGTACCTTCAGCTTCAGGGATTGTCCTAATTTCATGCCCTCTTTACTCCACAGAAACACACACATCGTATAATTAACAATCTTAATACAAACATCTTGTTTGTATAATTAACATTCTCACTAGCAAAAAGATTCAAAATAAAAGGATGTAAGTCAATATACCAAGCAAGTGGAAAATAAAGCCAGTCACAGGTAGGTATACTTCTAAATGATAAACATATGTACATATAAAAATAACAGTTTCAAAAAAGATAAGATGATAGAACAAAAACTAGAAAAGGGTCATCGTGTCCAACTCAGACAAACTTGCAAATACCTGATAATTATATAGAAGAAAGAAATGATCAGACAATTCAACCAAATGTATGAGCAACCAAGAAAACAATTACCAGCTATCTCTCAATAATTGCCTTACTCCTTAATAGCCTGACCTCTCTAATTACAAGAGAAAGAAGAGCTATTCGACTTAGAACACCACCCAGTTAAGTTGTTTGTATAATTAATAAGCTCACTGGCAAAGAGATTTATTTTATTTGTATATCTGTGCCCCATATGCATGCAGGTACCTGGCAAGGTCAGAAGAGAGTGTGAGACTTCTTGTAACTGAAGTTACAGATGGTTGTGAACCATGGGTGCTGGAGAATGAACACTGGTCTTCTGGAGGGGAACTCAGTGCTCTTTACTGTTAGGTCTTCTCTCCAGTCCCAAGAATCTTTTCTTTTCCTCCACCGAGAGGCTTGGAAACTAAATCATCAGACTATTATGTTACCTACAGAAGGGGCAGGATTGGGTAAGACATTAACATGGGCTTGATGACAGCACAATAAATTGACAGGGAATAATTATAGCAAAACACCATAGGGAATGAGAGGAAGTCCAGAGGATGGATAGAGAAGTGCATAGGAAGTAGTAAGGAGGCACATTCAGTTTGAAGGATTTTTAAAGACAGGCTGGAGAAAGAGCAGGAGCTTTTCTTTTTGAGACATCTGCTGAGTATGATGGTCAGCTGGGTGCTTTCTCTGCATCTCTAAGATAGAAGGCTATCACCCCAATATTTGGCTCCTTAGTACTTATTGGTAAAATTAAACTTTTGTGCTTTTGTTTAAAAACAGTATATTGGTGTTCCAACATGTGGCATGACCACAGAGAGAGAGAAATCGCTCCAGCTATAGAGAAACTGAGAAGCCATCAGATTTGGTAAGTCACCTGGGGAGTCCTTAAGGACAGAGTTATGGATATCTAACCTTTTAAAATTTTTTTTAAAGTTTTATTTATTTATTATGTATGCAATGTTCTGTCTGCATGTAGATCTGCATGCCAGAAGAGAGCACCAGATCTCATTATAGATGGTTATGAGCCACCATGCGGTTGCTTGGAATTGAACTCATGACCTCTGGAAGAGTATCCAATACTCTTAACCTCTGAGTCATCTCTCCAGTGGGAAATACCATAATGAAAGGCTTTAGGAGCCTGTGTAATGCTACTTTAGATGGCTTGAAAATAGAAGCAGAAAACAAAAAGCTAAATTACTTAACTGAAATTGGCTCAATATCAATTAAAATTATTATCCATTTTGTATTTTATATGTTATTCTTAATAGCCGTAGTGTTTTTCTGCACCTGCTCAAAGAAAAAAAACTTTACAGATACAGAAAAAAAGAAAAACATGAATAGTGGATTGATAAGATACAATAAAGTTATAAATGCAAATGAGAAAAATACTGAGACAGAGACAGAGGAATTTAGACAAGCCTTAGAAAGATCTGTAAATGAAAATATGAAAAATACTCAGACACAGAGAGAGGAATTTAAACAAGAGTCTGCTGTGCCACCACATGTTGAAACTGAAAGGAGTTGTCCCAAGATTGTTAGAAAATTGACATTAGCTTATCTAGTTACCATACAAAAACTACAAGCAGATGAAAGGCACTGCCAAGGTTGTGAAGAGGTTAAATCAAATACTATAGACATATTAGATTTGAGAAGATTTAAGGTAGCAATCATTTCATATCTAATGCATTCACCCCATGTGAAGCAGTTATTAAATTTATGGGCAACTAAGAACAGAATTAGTCCCCATAGACTGGAAAGATTTGGTAAGAGCAATATTAGAAGCTGGTCCTCAGTTACAATGGCCATCATGGTGGGAAGAGAAAGCCAGGGCCATAGAAGAATAACATAATGCAAGAGGTATTAATATTTCCCAAGGTCAACTGCTAGGTGAAGGTCAATATGCTAATTTACAAAGGTGTCTTGAATTTGGTGATCAGACCTTGGCACTGTGTTGTTTAGCAGCTTTGGATAAGGTTGAAGAATGAGGAAAGGGGTCTGAGTAATTTACTAAAATTATGCAAGCCCCCCAAAAAGCCTTCATTGATCTCTGCAAAGATTTACTTCAGCTGTAAATAGAATAGTATTATATTTAGAAGTCAGAAAAATACTAATAAAATCTTTGGGCTTTGAAAATGCTAATTCAGCATGCAAAGAGATGATTAGACTTTTAAAGGCAAGATTAGCACCAGTAGATGAACAGATTAGAGATACAGCTGATTTTTTAATCTACTCCTAAACTATGGAGCTACTACTAGCCAAAAATCTTACATTGGCATAGATTTGTGTATAGTGACACCAAATTAAGGTTATAGTTTGGTATTATACCTATCTAATTCTTAAAAATGCTATGTAAAGTTCTAGTTCTTTTGAAATCTACTGTTACAAACTATTTAGGATAACTAAGAAATGCAAGTTAAAAGTCAGTCACTCACACTTGTGATCTTGATAGGTACTAGTTTAGTTAATCACAGAAATATGTTTCCTAGGTTGAAAGGTTAGTGAATAGCTGGAAACAAGCAATTCAGTTATACTAGAGATAGGTGGTCTTCAACAACCTCATAAATCTACAGAACCTGGTATTTAGAGATATTTTATTAATTTAAGGCATTTTTTACAATGAGAAGTGTTAGGTCCTGGAAGCAACCAGCAACCATACTACTTAAAAGAAGATGATGGGTATCGGAGAATCTTCAGGAGTTTGCTTCAAAAGTATGCTAGCCACAGGGCAAAACCTTCCCTTGCTGACAGTATGCTGCCCAAGTTGTGTGAAAGTAACACACACACACACACACACACACACACAAAAAAAAAAAAAAAAAAAAAAAAAAAAAAAAAATAAACTTTTAAATTTTCCCAAAAAAAAAAAAAAAAAAAGACACATCCTTCATAATTCCTCTTTCATAGGAAAAAATCTGTCAGTTATTCTGGGCCAGTAGGCTAAAGAGATAGGTGCTCCAGTGTGCAGAGGGATCTTGGGTGAGACTGCAG